TTGTTTTGTACAGAAGGGTACAATGTCTATGTGACTATTCTGAGCCTAAAAAATGCAATAAGAATTAGTTTCTTGGTTGCGAGAATTTCTCTGTAATTGTTGGTTCAATTTACTTCCGTTGTGCATTTTTCTTTACAACACCCTATGTCTTTACAACACCCTATGAAGCAAAGTCCTTTTGGGAGTGTGTTACCTCATTCTAGGAAGACTCAACACTAGAATCACATCTCTATCCAAACACGTAGGTAATACAAAACAAATTGAGTTGCAACTTCCAATCATATTAGGACTCCGAGGGGATTTCAGCATTGCAATCCTAATAGAAATGCACTATCTGCCTCTATAAATATATCATTACAAATCATTATCAAGGTATGTTTTTACATACAACTTACAGCATATATTATTTTCATAAAATTCTCTCTCTGACTTAAGTATCGGAGGGGCGACGATGACACACCTCGACGCCTTTGTTTCAAGCACCGGAAGACCTCGTTCGTGCTCATTCTCAGTCGTCAAGCTCGAAAGTCGCCAAGTACGATTTTTGATAGCATCAATCCCCATCGGGGTTAAGTCTATGTAGCAATTACGTGACATTGAATGATAAGACTCGATTAAATGAGTCATGTGACTTTGTAATGAGTTGAGTCCAAATCTATATGACAATTACATAATATTAAATAACAAACTCAATTAAATGAGTCATGTGACTTTGTATTTAAATGAATATATCATTTAATGCCATGTAATTGCCATATAGACTGGAGCTCAATCCCAATCGAGATAAATAACAGTACTCATATTGAAAAGGTTGGGCTTAGGAAGATAATATATGCTATAAGTAAAGGTCGTCGAGATTGATCCCAGCTGTGCATGTGTGTGCATACATGTTTGTGCTTTAAAGATTGTACTTAAGTATTATGCATGAACATGTTATTTTGCCCCCTTCTTGGCTCAATTATAACTTTTTTCGAGGAAAAATCTATTTTGAAATAGTGATTTTTTGGGAGAACATGTGATTAAAAAATAAGAATTTTTTTTAAATTTACGTGCAATATTATTTTATGGGAGAATATATAATTAAAATGAGGTTTGTAAAAAATATGTTTTTCTAAAAATGGAGCCCAAACAGGGACTTCATATTACTCGTGCATGCATATTTTTTCACATCTTTTTTGTTACAATACATTCACTGTCGGGGAGGATTTAGTGTTGGGTAAGCCCAGGCCAGCCAGGCCCAACTCAGTTTTTCCTTAATAAAAAATATTTTTTATAATATAAAAAAAAATCGTACTACATGTACATCATCTTTTACATCATTATTTATATCGTGCCACATGGAACACATAATTGAACGGTTAAAAAAAACACTTTTCCCGCATTCAAATTTTTGAAAGTAAAGAAAATGTCATCCTCAATGTAAGAGAAAATTTGTACAAGCACCATTATTGTAAAAAAAAAAATGCGATTTTTTCTTTTGACATAATGCCTATCATAAATTTTTTTTTTTTTTTAGTCCAAACTGGCTCGACCCATGTTGATCGTACACGTCTTCTTGTATGATATGTTTAGTATGTGGCTTTTGATGTGCTTCTTTTTCAGTCGAACACGATTGCAAATCGTGTGCTTTGAAGCAGTGTGTTGATTCTTATCTTTCATTTACTTGTTGTAGTATCTTGTACATACATAAATGATGCATAATTGTTTGTGCTCAGCTCTTGTTTAAGTTACATTAAAATTTTTATTCTCATTCTTCTACTTATTTTCACCACATATTTTTCATCACATCAATAACTTTTCCTTCTTTTTCAACCACACATTCTCCATCAAAATACATTCTTCCAAAATACATTCTTCCAAAATAATGTGATTCAAACACACCCTCGATAAAATTTGTTTTGTCAAAAAGTGTGAGTCGAGTACTTTTCCTTTTGACTGTCATAGATTCCTTCAATTTCGACAACATTTATAGATGGAAGGGAAATTGAAACATATATAAGCTAGATGATCATATTGAAATAAATCAAAGTTAAACAACCAACCCAAAACAAACCTATAAGTTAGGGGACTTCTATTGAAATTTCTCCCCGTTACAAAATAAAAGAGGAGAGAGCAGCTCGTGTATCAACATTTTCAAATTTCGGCCTCAAGGAAAAAATGCTACAGTACCCGGCATTCATGACCCACTACCCATGGTCGACCCGGATCATTCCGACGTCGCATTTGCTTCCACCCCAGTGGCCCCAACCCCAAAACGACGAGCTCCTTCTTGCTATGGAAGAATCCGATTACGAAGACAAGGTCATCATTACTATATTTTCCTGTTACTTATATTATTAATGTTGCCTCTGTCGAACACTGTCATCAATGATATACTGTGTTGATTTATGCTGCAAAAATGCACACTTATGATGGGTATCTGCGTGTATTCAATGAGTTGTAATGGATTTACGATTTTTATTTCTTTAATTTTTGGTTGGAACGAGCATGGGAATATTTCAGGTCCCCTTGTTTGGGACTCTTGGTTAAGCTTAAAAAAGAAGTGAAATTACTTCTTGAGTAACCGTTTGTTTTATTTAATTTATTACTTACTTTCAAGTCAAAGAAACTCGAAACTATTTTATTTGAGATGATTTAAACTTATGACTAACTTTTATTGATATAAATTTTTTAAGTTTAAAATTTACTTATAAGTACATTTACGGGAAAGCGAACTTTTTAAGCTTAGCCAAATATGCTCTTGAATCCAAATGCTTTTAGAGTTGTTGTATCATGGTTCCACGGTTAGCATAATCAAGTTGATATTTGAAGAACATAAGGATTTTATAGGTGGGGGCCTTTGATTTTCTTAGAAATGAAATGTTAGGAAATTGAAGTTGGCAGAGCTAGAATGCAGCTAAGGTGAAATTGAGGAAAAATGGAACTAGAATTAACATAAAGATTTTATGTGGTCAATATACTGATTGATAACAAATTACAAGAGAGATTTGGCACAAGAAAGATTATTTTAGTTCCATATTTTCTGAGATAACTATGGAATTTACCTGCAATTGGTGACAAACTACCCTCAGCAATCTTAATTTTCAAATTACCAAGACAAGGTGAAGGAAGCTAGTAATGTGATGAGTTGCACCAGAATCAATGATCCAAGGTACTGTAGTAGAGGAACTAGTTAATGCACTTAGGAGTCTACCTGTCTGTTCTACCGAACCTTTAGGGAGTTTAGATGACTGATTGGCACTCAGGAACTCATGGAGGTTTTCTATTTTCTCTTAACTAAATGGGACAAGAACCTCATTATCTGTGCCAGCTTGCATTCCACGCCGTCCTTTGTCACCAAATCGCCTATTCTTCCAATTTGCTGGTTTCCCAAGAAGTTTTCAGCACGTTTCTTTCGTATGTCCAGGTTTGTTACAGTAGTCACACCACCAAGGCTTATCCTGAAATTTCCTTGGAGCTGGATTAGCTTTAGGGAAAAAACCAGCAACTGCACTGCCTTCAGCATTTAAGGCAGAATTTCAATAGTAAACATTAGAGTATATTTCGTATCATCACCAACCTTCTACTTTCTTCATGCCTTACCTCAGAGAAAAGCTCTCTGATGGATAGAAGAGGTTGCTTGCCTAGAACTCGACCCCTTATTTCATCCAATTCAGAATTCAAACCGGTCAAGAATTTTAGAATCCTTTCCTTCTCCGCAGTTTTTAGGTAATGAGCATATCCTCAACACTCTTCCACTCATGTTTATAGAACAAATCAAGGTCTTTCACAAACTTTGAAGTTTTCATACTAATTTTGTGACATTATCCCACCTTGCTTAGCCTCACTCAGTTTTAATTGGATTTCATAGACTTGGGCTGAGTTCCCAAGTCCGAGAACATCTCAGAAACTCCATCCTACAGTTGCTATACAGTAGGTAGGCACAAAAATTTTGGCCTATCATATAATCCATTGAGTTCACAAGCCAAGATATTACCATGGAATTGTCGGCATCTAATGTAGAAATGCAGAATCCTCTTTTTCCGGTCGAACAATTTCTCCAGTCAGGCATCCAATCTTCCAACGGCCTCTGATATACATTATCACAGACTGAGACCAGTGTAAAACAAGCTCTGATACCATAAATGCAATAGCAATAGAGAATCATGAATATGATTGTATTGCAATAGATCATTTAGGAGAAAATAAAGGTAAACACGATAATTCCTAACTGTACATTCTAGATGTTCAAATTTAAAAACTAATATTATTTACAAGATTTGTATCATTTTATATTTCGTCTTCAACAGATTAGAAGTTGACCCGTCTTTGTTTCATAATTGGTTTATTCATAGCTATTATATGTGGCTTTGCAGTGTAATGAAATCAGAAAGGCAAATTACAATTTAATCACGATTGGGAAGACTACTCTTGATAATGATAAAGAAGATATTGACAATGATGCAGATGATGACGATCTTGACAATGCGGAAGAGTCTGATGGCGATGAATTTGAACAAGAAACTGGTTGAATTATACAGCTATACCTAGTTCTGCTTAAAACAAAAAAAATTGAGAAATGCTGTGGGTTTAGTATTCATCATGCCTATATCGTTTAGCCATTTGATTTACTTGTAACGTACGAGAAACATCCTCCTCTATGTAGCAGACCTTGTATAGGGCGTAGTATGTTGTTGTATCCAATTTGCTATCATAATGTTTGTACACAAATTAGCAAGTACACGGGATAAGACAATGTGCTTATTTTTGTTTCAAATTGTGAAAGATTGTTGCATTCTCATAAAGAAGTCCTTTAAATGTATGCTTTTTATCGGAATAAGATTTAGACCCTGTTTGATGTAGTTTGATGAAAGTTGATGAAATATGTGGTTAAAATTAATAGTTGATTTTGATCCAACCAAATATGAGCTTTGTTTGTTTTTATTCTTAAAGGGTATGTACCTCCCAAGGCTTGTACATGCTCTATAACAGATCATCGACTTTGTGACACATGGTACTGGGAGGTAAATCGCATCAGCTGCGAAAGTAATAGCCTTTACGCATCAGTGTGTTTGGCTAAAGAAATGTTTAAGTAAAGGATTATGCTACACGTATCGGGTGACTTGTAAAGGGTTGGGGAGTTTTTTGTCCTGGCATGTGTGGCTTTATCCTTAAGTAAATTTTTTATATTAAAAATGTAATTTAATTTGACAATGAACTTATTTGCCCATTTATTTTTTGTGAAGGTGGTGTGTTCGATTAGAGATCTATAATTTTTGAAACGGTGATTTTTTTGTTTCATTTTGCAGTTTGTGGTAATTTTGGGTAAAAGGTGGTGCCGTGGTGGTAGTAGGTGGTGCAAATATGATGATTTGGAAAGATGGTGGTTATAGTAGTGGTGCATTAGTCATAGTCGCGATGCACGGATTAGTAAGTTATAATTTCAAAGAATTATTCACATCGTAACAACAATAATACATAGTGAAAGTTTATAATTTTAAATAAATTACACACTATAACATGATTTAAATGTAAATTAATATAGAGAGTTAATAACTTATTAAATTTAGGGTTTCTGGCCAAAAATAAATTACAAAATAATTAATCCTTTGACTGGAAAATTGATGAGTTATCCTCCCCCCTCCCTCCGTCCCCGCTCTTACAATATTTTATTTGACTCCTTAAACTTATAAGAAAAAGTTGTTAGGAATATTGGGCATAACTCCACCTAATAAAACCGGCTTATTAGGGGAGGATAACCCTTACCTTATTAAGTAGATCATTTATATTTTCCCAAACAATGTGGGATTCTAATACGCCCCCTCACGCACAGCGTGGACCATGCCAAACAACTGTGAACAAATCGATATTGGGTGGCGCAGCACCCAACATTGCATAAATTGGGCATAGCTCTAATACCATGTTAGGAATATTGGGCCTTACTCCACCTAATAAATCCGGCTTATTAGGGGAGGATTGCCTTCACCTTATTAAGTGGATCATTTATATTTTCTCAAGTAATGTGGGATTCTAATAAAAGTCAAATATATCGACCTTTTTGACCACCAAAATTTGATACTTTGAATGTTCTTTCCTCGTTATTTGACTCTGCATAATTACAAAGAAACACTTGCTGTATAGGAAAATGACTTGTCAAGCTGGAATATTCTTGTTCACATTAATATGAAAAATAAATTATTTTGTTTCTCTTTTTTAATTTTTGCTAATTGTTTGTCTTTGTGTATAGCATTTTATAAATAGGTATCCATAGTATTTGAGATGTATAATCAAACTTCAAGAATTCTATACATAGGTAATAGTGGAAATTACACCTCCTACCTAACTTTTAATAAATATTTAAACATTACTTTGTAATATTTTTTTATCCACGAATACTAAAAGATCATAGTAAATTAGGATAATAAAACTTAATTTACACCAACAAACAAGTCCTTACGGGAGTTGATTGATTAATTTAGAAATCCCTAAAATTAAGTCTCTTCATCTTCCTCCCAAATCGCATAATTTATGAAGTCTCGGATTCTTTTACGTACTTTTGGGTACTTGGAAATCACAGAAATCCTTTTTTGTTTGTATAATATTGCATTTCGTTATCCAATCGTCTGTAACATCTGTATATCGAATTAATTCGTAGATCCAAGTTGCAGGAGACAGGGTGAGAAATGTTGTAATTGACAAAGAAAAGATAACTAAAAACCCGTATAGTTAGTTAAACGATACCATGTCTAAAAACATTGGCAAACTGTTTCAATTACCACTTGCCAGTTATTTTTGTTGAATAATGCATGCTTTGTAATGAACAAAATCGCTGTATAGTCTCGATAACTGTAAAAAAAAATGTACAAGAAGTCAATGGGAACTTCTGTAGACAACAAATGATATATGAATTAATCAACTTCAAAGAAACGTGGAAGAATTCCTATTTGTGGTTTTAGATAATCAAAAGTCACTGTGAAGATTATTAGAATTTTGACTTGGTATTATCTAATTAAAATAGCTATTCAAATCTAATATTTTTTTTGTTTCTTATTTACAATTGAACTATTAGGAATCCCATGTCAAATTGAAATCAAAAGGGCCCTCATTTTGTGTCCTTGAATTATATTTTATTTATCTCAAATTCAAGATAATCATGAACTGTTTTGGGTGGAGAGACTCAAATCGTTTGTGGTCTCACCTAGTACAATCTTGGTCTTTGCTTGGCGTATGGAGTGAGTCAGAGTACATATATGATTGTACAATTTTTTTATATAAGACAGCTCGTGATTTTTCTCGACTTCAGAAATTTTTGGCCACCCAATAAAGAATTCAAAATATTAGCAGAATAAAAATATAACATCTCTACATTCCAAGTCTGAATTCAAAGGACTGGTTTGCTATATCATTTATTTACAAAGAAACGTGCAAAGAGAAGAGAAAATAAAATTTAATAGTATAAAAGAGGAGTTTGGACATGAGTTTATACGTTTCGTTTTCATTTCAAATTTTAAATAATCTAAGCCTCCGTTTGGGAGAAATAGAGCCGCTAATTGTCAATTTCAGCCACAATATTTGACCTTGTATCTCACAAGTGGGCCCACTAGCGGTCCAAATTTTTCTACAAATGAAGTAAACAAGCAGAGGCTAAATGTGAATATGATGAAGAATGATATTTTAATTTTCTAGGAGATTATTATTTCTTGAAGTACAAAATATGCAAAGCAATTATCATTGACTATGTTTTAATTGGTTAACAAAGTGTTGTTTTCACTACCGAAGTCATGAGTTCTAGGATTGACATCTCCTTCCATTCCACTCCTCCTTAAAAAGAAATTATTAATTATTTGTTATGGCCTATTCTCTTAAATACGATATGTAATGTCGGCATTGACAATGTATTATCGAATTTAAAAAGTATAATAAGCACACCGTGTGATACATTCCTCCAACACGTCTCTTTTTAGTTAAAAATTTCTTCACACACCCTAGAATGTTTCTTAATACAAAATCGCACTGTCAATAAAATTAAGCCCCTCTTTTATGAGGATTAAAATCAATTTTTTTCTATAATACCCTGTTTGAGCCACATTATTCTCCTAATAATGCATTTTAAATAGTATTTTGATGGAAAATATGTGATTAAAAAATAAGAAATTTTTTTGAATTTGCGCTTAAATTATTTTATTGAAGAATGTGTGGTTGAAAATAAGAGAGGGAAAAATGTATTTTAAAAGAATGGGTATCAAACAAGGTGTAGATTTTGATAAAAGTAGATGAAATGTGTGGTTGAAAAGTTGTAAATCCCATGAAATGTATGATTAAAATTAATTGTTGATTTTGACTTCGATTTTAATCTTTATTTTAATTTCTACCAAACATGGGTTAAATATAAGGGAAAAATTCATAATTCAGGTGTATGGTTTACACCAATTCAAAAGTCAAGTAGATAGTTTAACAATTCAAAACTCAGGTATTAGATAATTAATTAAAAATATTTATTAATGAGGTCACAATTATACAATTAATGGTCACAAATACATAATTATATGTTACAATTTATTTATTGGTCACATATTATCAAATTAATTAGTCATTGATGATTTCGATGTCACAAATTCAAAAATTTATAGGTCACAATTAATTTCATTGGTCACATAATATTTTTCAGTCACATATTGTCAAATTTTTATGTCACGGTTAAATACTTGGTCACAGATAACCAAATACTTGGTCACATACCACTGGCACTATGACTTCAGCCACGGCACCCCCTCGTTGCCATCACCACCACGGCCACCAACAAACCCACCACCACCGCCTGTTTTCTACCTTAATCCACTGCGCCGCCACGACCACCATCGTCGATCGCACTGTCGACACTCCACCTGCAAAACAAACAATACCAAACCCACAACTTCACCAACAAAACCAATGTCTCCATCGCCAGAAACCACCACAGCCACCAGACATATCCAACAAACCTCGTCTAATCCACCAACACCACACCACACCACACCACACCACAATCCTGCCACCAACAAAGCCGCCACCACTAAATCCACCCCCAACATCGACAAAAATCACCATAGCTACCAATAAAACCCCCAAACCTGCAACAATCGCCAACAAAAACACACAAAAACTCCCATAAAGTAGCATATCGGAGGAAGAAACCACCACAAAAATATCGCGGCGTAGCTCCATCGCACTACCACATCAAAAAAAAAAAAAAATGACAGCTCCGACCGACAACAGTGTCTCAAAAATTTTTAAAAAAAGAACGACAGCACCGACGGACAACAGCGTAGCCGAAGGCTGCTGTTCACAGCGAAGCTCGGAGATCCGCTGCCATGTGCGATTTGCTGTACAGCGAAGCTCAAAGATGAAGCGGCGCTCGCCGCTGTACAGGCGATGGAGATGAAGCGATGCTCGCCGCTGCACATCGAAGTGCCACTGCACAGCGACGAGCTCCACCATGGTTTTCGACGACACAGGCGGTGCTACAGAGAGGGGGGAGAGAGAGGTGGGGGGA